AGCAAATTCGTTGTCAACACTATATCTCTTATCTCACCCCCCTCTCTCTCTCTCGCCTAGTTTATCTTACTGTGGCAGTAACAGCATCTCAAGGGGCACTACTCAGTCGAGTGTCCTTACTTGGAGATGGCGGACGCTCGCCCTACAAGGGGTCACAGCTCAAGATTGAAGAAGTCTAAGTCCAGAAAACTGTGAGGGCAAACTTTTTCGGAGTGAGGATTGTAAACTCTTGGAACAATCTACCAGAAATTGTTGTTGTGACGGCACCGAGTGTGAGCTCTTTCAAGACAAGACTTCACCAATACTGGAGCGGGTTCAGGTACATTCAGGAGCCGGTGAATGCTCAGTACTTGCCAATAGTGCGTAACAGAGACGTGACAGATCGCCCAAGCGGTTAACGAGCCGATCAGTGGTGAAGAGGATAAAAGTAAAAGTAAAAGTTATAAACCATTTTATAATTTTAATAAACCATTTTATTTGTATGTTAGGAATATCATTTACCTGCAGTATTCTGCTGTCATTCCTTCCTATTGCTTGATACCAGAATTACAATGTACCCATGTGTCATAACCCTCGAGCCACGCTACCAAAGGTCAGAGGTTATGAAGTAACTATATGAAATGAAAATAACTAGACAAAATTAATGGAGAAAATAAATGAAGTAAGAAATTAAGAGAAAACCAGGTTGAAGAGTTTAAAAGTTAATTACTAGGGTATAAATTAAAAAGAAAAGAAAAGGAGAAACTCAGCTCTTATAATGGAATTACACACTTTAACAATACTGTTTTCACAAAGTTAGTGAAACTACAAACAAGGAACTATTCACAGGGATACATTAGATTTTGGAGATTATACAGGTTGACAGAATAGTTCAGGAGATTAATGACTTTCTTAAATAGATAACTGATATCAACTAAACTACAAATATCAGATTCTCTGATGTTTGGGCATCAAAATAATCTAACTTCAGTTGCAATTGGAAATTCGTGGCTATCCCCAGGGACAATATCAAGGGATGCCATTCGTACTGGCAGACTCGACACTCACTTACTTAACAAGTGTTACTAACAATAAAGACAGTTAAAGCTTTCAACATCACTCACAAAGGATCTTGAATGCTTTAATTGTAATCAGACCTCTCTAAGTTGACTAAAAACAATGTTGTCCTCTCTCATATTCAAATTCACTTTATAGAGGTTGGTTTCAGGAAGTCAGAGAAAATGGACGGCACCCTGGTTTGGGAGCGACCGTGGTCATTACACCCAAGATATGCCAGGGACTGTCAGCTGATTGAAAATGTCCAAAGGAGTGCCTCCAGATTGGTGCCTGCACTAAGGCACCTCAGCTACCCTGAGAGATGAGATTGCCTGAAATTGCCTAGCTTATACTACAGACGGGCAAGGAGGGACCTAATTGAGGTGTATAAGCATCTCAAAGGGCACTACTCAGTCGAGTGCCCTTGTAGTGGATTCCTCCCCTACAAAGGCCGTGTGTCGCTGACTAGCCGACCCTCTTCGAACTCCCCAGCCTGCGCCTCGTGGTCAAGTTCGGCAACCAGCGCCGCCTAACAAGGCGGAGGTCAACTATCAACCCACGCCTACCCCTGCTATGTAAGATCTCACCCCACCGTGACCTCTCTTTTTCTACCTACAGCCACCAGCAAGCAACACCCACTCCTCCACTCCTGCCTGGTGGCCCTCGCTCCCTCCAGCGACCATGGCGACCCACAAGCTGGTCCTCCTCTGAGCACCCTCACCAACCAGCTCTCTCCTACACCACGCTTGGACCCACGCTACCACCCCCCAGCACCAAGCTGCATTGTACATCCAATACAATATGTATACAGAGAGCACATTGTGAGTTTCCTTTCTCCATCCCATCCTGAGTGTGAATCAAGATCTCATAAACCCCACACCCCTACCTGGAGCTGACGGATGCTCGCCCCACAAGGGGTCACAGCTCATAGTTGAAGAAGCCACAAGCCCAGAAAACAGTGAGGGGTAACTTTTTCGGAGCAGGTTCAGATACATTCAGGAGCCTGTGCATGCCCATTACTTGCCAACATTGCGTAAAAGTAACAGAGACGTGACCGATCGCCCAAGCGGCTAACGAGCTGATCAGTGGTGAAGAGGATAAAAGTAAAAAAGTAAAAGATGAGGAATACAGTATAGGCGGCACCGAGAAGCCTAGGGGGTGGATAGCCCCCCTGCTATTAAATCTCAGACATTATTTCCCACTTCCAAACTTTACCTTCCCCTACGCCATCTTGCATCTTCAGAGCAAACAGCTCTCTTCTCTCCATCTCATCGTCACCAAGGGTAGTGTAGTCGTCCATTTCAGTGTGAAGTACAAGCCCAGTGACATGTAAAAATAATTGTGGAATTGTTGTGAGCGATATAAAGTGAAAATATTAAGGAATTGTACTGGTAGTGGGCTGATTGTACTGTATATATTCGAAGTGAGAAGTCCCATTGTGAAAAGTAGTGTGAAGATTTGGTGATTATTAAAGTAGACCAAAGTTTACAAGTGTGCTTCTGTGACCTGGTGGAAATCTACTTGCCTGTTCACTGATACCGATCGTCGGGAAATGATCGGAGACTGGCGGGATAGCTCGTGGTAATTCGACGACACTTATGATACACCTGTAGGGTACGAGATATTGGTTCACACTCAGGATGGGTTGGAGAAAGGAAACTCACCATGTGCTCTCTGTATACATATTGTATTGGATGTACAACGCAGCTTGGTGCTGGGAAGCTGCTGCTTGGTTAGGAGCTTGCTGGTTCGGGAGCGTGGAGTAGAGAGAGCTGGTTGGTGAGGGTGCTCAGAGGAGGTGTTGCTTGCTGCGGCTGTAGCTAGAAGAAGAGGTAGGGCACCACGAGGTCTTATATAGCGGGGATAGATGTGGCTTGATGGTAGACCTCCGCTTTGTAGGTGGCGCTGGTTGCCGACCTTGATCACAAGGCGTAGGCTGGGGAATTCGAGGGTCGGCTAGTCAGCGACACACAGCGTTTGTAGGGGAGGAATCCACTACAATGCTCCCCTTTCCCTCCGGGCGGTGCAGGAGACTTGTTGTCGGCAGGGTTGTATCCCACATGTGAGGCATAACGGGTGGGGGTGTGGATGAGCCAGCCGCTACGGGAGATGACTCTGTCTAGCAACACGAGATCTGTGGGAGAAGTAGAGGGAGGAGTAGGTTTGTGGATAAGAGAAGGTTTTACAGGCGAGAAATGTGATGCTTCTCTCACGGCGGGTACTCAGTCCTCAGTGGCGCCGGGTGGGGTGTCTGGGTCCGCGTCAGGAGCAGGGGCCCCGTCAGGAGGGGGGTCCATGACAGCAGCAGGGTGCAAGACAGGCGCAGTGGGTACCTGAGGAAGAAAAGACGGTGCCCAGAAATGTTGTGGGCGAGGTGGTGCTGCAAGGGGTAATGGTGGGCAGACTGGCTGAGGAGGTGCGGGATGAATGTGTTCAGGGCGGTGGGAAGGCTGGAGTGGGGCAGTAGCCTTGAATGCAGAAACCGCCTGACGTAGTGTTTGTAGTAGGTCGTGACGGGCAGCAGGAGTGAAGTGGTCAAGGTCAGAAGTAAGGTGTGTGATGTGCTGCTTGATATTGGCGGTGGTTATGGTGCCTACCTGTCTCCATCGATGTCGCTTCGCCGTGTGGTAGCAGGGGAGCCTCACAGCATCTAGCGTTAGCACCAAAACGTTGATGGTACCAACAGGGGGTAGATACACTGTGCTGGGGGCTGGGGGCGGCGTCTGAGGCAGGACGGGTGTGTTGGAGTCGGTAGGACGTGGTGCTTGGGGCAGGGACAGGTGCTGCTGAGGCCTGGAGGAGCAGAGCTGCTCTAGGGTGTCTAACCTGCTGTGTAGGGACAGTAGCAAGTCCCGCATGTCTTGTGAGGTGTCGGTCGTTTGGGGAGTGCTGGTCAGGTTGACAAGACCGGAGGAAAGTGAAAGTGTAGCCGCGGAGTTGTGTGCGGACGCATGG